AGTTCTTAACCTCAATCCAAGTGACTAGCCGTGGACCTTTATAAATTTTCATAGAAAGATTTTCATGCAAAAGTTATTATTCAAGTCTTTTTTATGCAGAGTTCTTTTAATCATGCAAAAGAAATTTTTATTTTATTTTTGTAAATATTTTGCAAAGTCGTACAGTCCACAGACTAGTCACTCTAATCGTGCTAGAACTACTGACAACTTAAGAGTGTCGGGGCAACGATCCCACCAAGAATCGACGAATAGTATCATGGATCTTTTCCTCTCCCTTATTGAAGATCCTTGAGGTAGGAGATACTATTCTAATAATCTAACTTCGTATCTCTCGTTTAAGCACACATGAGCAATGTCATCACAGCCCTCGCCACCTAGACCCTAGACTTATCCTAGTCCGATGATCCTTATGTGGCGTTAAGAAATTTCCCCAATTGTCAGGAGGATTTGAGTGTAATATTCAAGCTCAAATCCCGATGCACTGGGTTTTATTGTAGGTTAAGTCATTGAGGGAATTTCACTGTTGATTTAATTAAGGAAGCATGGGTGACGACTCGGTGCATCATGTTTAGTGTTTTAGTCAAGTTGTGAATTAGGGTCAAGTGTCTAGTTTCATTGTGCATTCGAGGATTAGGTGAATAGACTCTTACCTAAAGTATGTTCCTGAAACCTAGGAAGCCTGTGCTGAGAATTAGGTGGATGGACTCTCACCTAAGGTGTGCTCCTAAAATCTAGGAAGCCTATGTTAAAAATTAAGTGGATAGACTTTCACTTAGGGCGTGCCCCTAAAATCTAGAAGCCTATGCTGAGAATTAGGTGGATGGACTCTCACCTAAGGTATGTGCTCCTAAAACTCTAGGAAACATATGCTGAGAATTAAGTGAATGAATTCTCACCTAGGGTGTACACCTAAAGTCTAAGAGGTCTACACTGAGGACTAAGTGGATGGGTTTTCACCTAGGGTGTGCTTCTAAAGTGTAGGAAGCCTAAACCGAGGACTAGGTTGATAGACTCTCACCTAGGGTGTGCACTTAAAGTTCTAGGAAACCTACACTTTAACTTATGCTTAAGGTGATTTAAGGTTTTCTATATCTTCCAATTAATTAAATCATCAATCCCCATCTTTATGACTTAACCATTTGAAAAGAAGTAAAACAAAAGAAAGATGAGGCAAACCCACTTCCAAAACTAGTAAAGTCAAGGGGGAAAACAACGAGTGGATCGACCTAAAAGCGTTTAAGTAACAATCAATTGAAATCCAAAACAGTGGGCAAAAAAGGGTCTGTAAAACCAATTCTAAACCGCATGTAAATCAACGCTAAAAGGATGCCAAAATAATGTGTTGATTGCCTCAAAATTAGCCCACCAAATGCCCCAAAACATTGATTAAAGCAATCCCGCAGATGGTGGGTTTAATGCCTCCAAAACAGTAGGCAAATCCCTCAAAATCAGCTCCCAAAACAATAGGCAAAGATCTCAAAATCAGCCATAAAACAACAATTTTAAAATTCCCAAACAACACATGTAAGCTTAAAGCAATAATTTTAAATGTTACAAAATTAGCTAGAAAACCTAGCCCAAAACAGTGACAATACATTTAAAGCTCTGAAAGCTGCAACGAAACCAGTCTGAACCAGTCTCAAAATAACCCCCGAACATCACTTAAATTGCCTCAAATAGCTTTTTTTTTTTTAAATGTTCCCAAACAACACTTGTAGAAAGCTCCAAAAACAGTGAAATTGAAGAGCCAAAAACAGTGTTATTTAGTGCTTCCAAGCAGCAATAATATGACTCGAATAAGACAACATTTAACTCTTCTCAACAGCAGAAATACATGACAAACAAAATAACATTTTTTTTTTTTTAAGACCACAAATTTATAAGACTTAAAACAACATCTATGTCATTCCAAAACTTTCAATTCAGCAAGTAGACATACAAATACTGAAGCTTATTTATATTGTAAAAGATAGTTAAATGCATTATCTTGTTGCAACATAAAAATATTTGAATGCTATGCATACTCATGTGAAAGTTTGAACAATAGACAAGTAAAAAAAAAAAAAAAAAAACATGAATTAAGTGGATGCGTATGACAAATCTTCCTAACTCCTAGATGGCATATATTGTATAAATAAAATGAGTAGGAACAAAACAAGAATTCATTACCAAGTTATTGTAATTGCTGAGGGCTGACGAAGTTCAGTGTTCCTCCTACGGCAGACGATCAACAGAGCAACAGAGAGTTTCCAAAGAGAACAAGGTGTTCTGTCGAGAGCAGATGGAGGCGAATCAGGCGTGTACGGGAGGGCTAAGCGGCTTCGATATGGACGAGAGGCGAGCGGGAGTGGGATCGAGCGATCTCGGCGCTAGCGAGAGTGGGATCGAGCGATCTCGACGCAGAGAGGAGAGGCAGAAGTTTCGCTACAGAGGAGATGAGAGCCGAGCAGGGGAGATGAGACGAAGGCTTTCGGTACAGAGACGGGATAATCGAACCGGTGCGGGGAAGAGGCGCAGCAGATGCTTCGATCGGGAGTTACGATCGAGTCGCAGAGAAGAGCGGGTGAGGCGAGTGTGGATCTTCGGCGCAAGGAAGAGGAGATCGCGCCAGGAAGAAGCGAGCGGAGCTTGGATTTTGGTGCAGAAAATCGTGGAGTGCAATGGAGCTTCGGTGCGGGGCTTCGGCGAGCAGAAGTCTTCGGTTGAAAGGAAGCTGGGTTTCGAACTGGAGAAGATGGCGTCGAGCGGAAGAGGAGCTGACAGAGGATTTCAGTGGCGAGGGAGTGGCGAGGGAGAGAGAGGTTTCAGTGCAGAGGAGAATAGATGAGCAGGGGATGAAGAGGAGGCCGAATGCAGGAAGGTGAAGGAACGCTCGAATTGTATACCAAAAATGTATCTGTTACGGGTGATTAGGCGGGGAAATGCATTCCTTCTAGGCGGGGAATTGCATTCCTTCCTTTCTGCCAGCCAGCTTAAATGGAAATATATTTAATGGGGGATTAAATCATAAATTTGAAATTTAAAATTTAAAATTTGAAATCAGTGGGCTGAAGTAATTAGCCCATGTCCAGCCTGAATCGAACCCAAGTCGGACCTGGGTTGAGCCCGGGCCCGCGCACCGCTAAAAAAAAGGCATCGATATCCGTGCAAACTGTGCGCGCGCATAACCCTGACAATATGGGTGTCCTTCCTAGCTAAAGTTAACGTTCCGGACGCGTCAGCGCGGTCCGTTTCGTCATCCGGGGTCGTCCGGACGAGTTTTCCGACGGGCAAGCCGAGCCAAGTGTGGTGCAGTGAGTGCGTTGCTGAGTCACCGAGGGTTCACCTAAGGTTGTACGATCCTGTAGGAACTTATTTTCGGGTCCTCTACATGTTGGTCCTTAGCCCTTGCAACTAGAAGTTGAGTGCTTAGAACCACTCATGCGAGTTCTTCACAAAAATGAGTCAAGAAGCGGTTTGAAATTCTACGGGAGGTGGGCTCCATTACTAGTCCGCTAGGATGGTCAACAAGGAACTCCTAAGGCTAGATTCTAGATTCTAAGAGTAGGAGACTAAGACCTCACTAAAAATGAGGTCAACACCAGCTCACGAATGATCCCACACGAGCACACTTAATTTTGAAATTTTGATAAAATTCAACCATTACACCAAAGGCACCTCGATGTTTAACAGTTCAGCTTCATGCTACTAAAAGGTTTTCACAATATCTCCCATTTAAGTAGCTCACCTCTCAGTGATCTATAAATAGAGTCATCCACCAACAAATTTAAGAGTTGGCTTCCACCATATAACACTTTGCCCCATCTAGGGTTCAAGAGGTGGCTCATACTTTATTTTGTATGACACTTAGTTTCTTTTTTTTAGCTGGTGTAATGCTTTCTTTGATACCATTTGTGATAGCCCGAACTCTCATCCATGACCCATTAAGACATTGTCTGCTTTTGCCTGATGGTCTCACAATTTTTCCTTGTTGGTTTAACATCCTATGAGTCACCCATCCGAAGAATACTCCAACGCGAGCAACCTTAACTTTGGATTTTCTATCCAAATTCCATCGTTAAACCAAAAGGTGTCGTGATGTTTAAAAGTTCAACTTCATTCTACCAAAGGAGTATCACATATGAAAAGGTGTATTTCACTTTTAAAAAGCGGTAATAGTGCTATTTTTGATGTGATATTAAAGATTTGAGTACAATGTGTGTAAATATGAGTAAAGAGCCAAAATAGTCCCCTGACTATTTACATGGGGCCATTTTAGCTCTAAAGTTTATAGAAGTGTCAATTTTATCCGTAAATTTATAAATTTCAGGCTCTAATAGTCCTCCATGGGGACTATTCGAACCCTAATTTCAAGATTATGGGTACTAATTTGGCACTTATATAGAATTTGGGACTAAAATGGCTGCATGTAAATAGCAAGGAAATACTTTGGCATTTTGCTCGTGTAAATATTAAACTTAAGGTGTGAGATAGATATATATATACATAAGAAATTCTATGGTATATGTAAATACCCTTTTTATTTTATATATATTTTCGTTTCATGTAAGTATATAACCTAGGATGTATTAAGGATAAATATTAAAGTCCTTTTAGTTTCTATGGTTTCAAAGTCTTTCTTTTGTTTTTCTTTTTATTGATTAGGCTAGATTTTTAATTAATAGAGTTTCTACCACCTTTTAGTAGTTGTGGTATAAATTTGGTAGATGCTTTTTTATAACTTTTTTTGTTTATGTTTTTTTTTCCAGGTTTTTTATCATTGCTCCTCCAATTAAAAGTTATAGCGGCAAAAACTATTTCTTGTTTTAGGGAGACTAAATCAGAGAAGTTTCAAATGGCTGATATCCTTCTCTTCGAAAATTTAAATTTTTTCAGAGAAGAATTTGTCAATTGTCCAATTTTTTCTGAACAATTGGCTTCGGGAGCGAATATTTTTGTAAATGATGCTTTCTTTCTTTCACATAAGATTCTTGCTTCAACAGTTGGTGCTACTCGTTTTTGTTATGCTCGTCTTGCTGGTTTTCATTTTGAAGCACAGCTGCTTAAGTTGAAGAACATAAGAGAAATCACTCTGCAACCTTATGTGGTAATCGTATGTCTCTTACCCATATTGATTTTTATATTTACTTCAAATTATAAGAAAATGCAATTTTCCTCTCAAGCTTTTCTTTTTGGAGCTATTTGTCTATTCGTAGGATTTATTAAATCTTGTAAATTTATATTTAGTAAATCATGCTGCATTAAATTCTAAAAATTATTTGAAATGATAGATATTAAATATTATTAAATTTTAATAAATTGTTTGACAAATATTTTGAAGTTTTAGGATTTAAATAAAGGAGAAGAGGAGGTTGAATGAGGAAAAATGTAAATCTATTAAATTCTATTTATACAAGCTTGACTAAATTTGGGATTTATACTAATATAGGAGGAAAACAAGATTTGAGGTAGTAAGATTTACATGGCTCAAAAAACTATTTTACCAAGATTTGGCCTAAATTCTAACTAAATCTAGGCTAAATCTTTCAACCAACTACCATTTTGAGGGGGTGTTTGGTTACAATTTTCAAACATTCCTTAAGAAATTTTATAAAACTAGAGTTAGTATGTTCTTGTCATGAAAATTGTTAAATTTTGCTATTTATTCTAAGATTTAAAATTTGTGAGAGACTTGTGAATGGCGAGATTTAACAAATCTTGGATTTAAATAACAGTAGTCTGAAACTTGATTTATCAAAATTTTAAGATTTGAAGTCTCCTAAATTAGCTTAAATCCTTATTAAAATAGGATACCAAAAAGCCCCTATTCAACTCCTTGTTATTTAGTTTCTTGAAATTCTAAATATAATCTCTAGAAATAAATCTACGTTTACCATCTTCTTACTACCTTTAAAATATTTGGCGACGAAATAAGTTTTCTCTGCTCTAGTGGCATTTATATTATATAGAACAAGTTAAGCTCAAAATCATGTGGCATAGTAGGAGTATATAGAACCAAAATATTGAATTTAGTAGTAGTTGAGAGAATCAGTTTAAAATCATTTTTTTTTCTTTGCCGTAGTATTGTTTTTAGTCTTGGCTATATGTGGGGTCACAATAGATCTTTAAAAAACATGCATCTAACCAAACTTATGATAGTCTATCATATATTCCTAAAAAGGTGGGTTGAGTCTATACCTCTTTATGCACAAGCTTTTATTAAAATGACTTTTTCTTCCTCAAACATATATATTTTTCGTTATTCTTCTCTTGTGGATAATTTATATAAAATAACTAAAATGTTTCATATTTAGTGCATAGAACTCCAACCAATTAAAGATCTCGGGAAAGTTTGATGCACAAAACCAAATCTTAGCTGTTAACTTAATAATTTGAATTGCCATTGCTTGGCTTTTTGGCTTTTTCTTTGCTAGAGTTTGGCTAAATTGGATGTTTCTTCTTCTCTTATGAAACAAAGTTGGATTGGTTCCACATCTAATGGCTCTTTGCAGTAGGTAGATCTTGAAGGCATTCCTCTTTATTGTTCTTCTTGTAAAATATCTATTCATAATTTCTTATAATGCTTCAAGCACCCGAAGTTGCAAAAATCTAGTAATCGTGGTTGTGAGGATCCATCATTTGAAAAAAAAAAAAATCTCATCTTCTAAAGTAATAGTGATAGGAACATTATCTTCATAGCCTATCTTCATAGCCTGTTCTCAAAACATGGGATCAACTTTGGATTCTTTCTTAGAATATGTCCGTCTTTCTATTCACATGACTAGTAGTCCTATCCCTTCCAATGTTATTGCTTTTATTGCTTTTAATGTTTTCTTTGATGCTAGAGTGATGTGTGATCCAGGCTTTTTTTCTTTTGCCTATCATATGTGCATTTCAAGTGCAAAGGAACTTTAGGGTAAGTAGTTTTAATTTCTAAATATTAGGAGAGAAAAGTAGCAAGAAACTATATTGGCACCCTCCAAAATATTTAGTTGACGATTTTAAAATTGGCCATGGGGTTTTTCTTTTCTTTTAGTTTTGTCAATTTAATTTTTGGTTCTTCTTTTCATCTAACAAATTATTTTAGGGGCATTTACATTTATACCACACAATTCTTATATGTACATATCTAACACCTAAACATTTATATTTTTGTGTATATCACTTGATTTTTTAACATCATGTAAAAATATCACTATCACTGTTTTTCTAAAAGTAACTTGTACCTTTTCATGCATAGGTTTATGACAACAAGGTGTTACAAGTGCAAATATCAAACTTTGTGTGTTAGATAATGCAAAAGAGATTTGTTCTATGCATGTAAACTTCCCTCCTTTATTGCTTTGTATTGTACTATTTTCATTGAATGATAATATATTTTGTTATGCTTTAAAAAAACATAGTTTTGATTATTAATTACTATAGATTTATACATTCTCTGGAGCTATGGTCCTGCAGCCTTATCGAACTTGGAATGTTGATCCATAAGATTCCATTTTCCATAAAATTTTACTAGTAGAATGAATAATCTTTTCTACTGTCTCCTGTTATTTGAAAACAGTTTTGGGAAATTTACCTACGTTGCACATAATTCTTATGTATATACATGTCTCACACCTAAACTTTCGTTTTTTACATACATAGCACTTTGGTGCTTTAAACCTATGCATGCAAAGGTGATTTTCACTCTCAAAAAGTTATAATAGTGCTATTTTTATGTGATATTAAAGATTTAAGTGCAATGTGTGTAAATACATAAGTTTTGGTGTGAGATATGTAAATACATAAGAATTGTGTTCTATGTATGTAAATGTCCCAATAGTTTTTTTTTTTTCACATAGAGAATATTTTGTGAAGAAACTGCATACTTTAACAGATTGGTGGAGGAAAACTTCGAGAAAAGGCGGCTGCTTTACTTTGTTTAGCTTCTATCTGTGATGTTCTGATCTTTGTGGGCATGATTGCATTCCAAATTATGAATGCATCAGGAATTTTTGTGCCCTCAAGCTTTCTGGAGCCTGATGCCTTCGATGAAGCGGCAGAACTAATCGAGCTTGCCAACAGAAGAAAAATACCTATATATTTCCCAACCGACCTTCACTGTGTCAATGATGGCATTCCAGAATTGTTTGAAATATTTCCTTCAAGGAGTCTTCCGCCTGGTAAGCTAAGTAATCAATTTTCTTTGGGAAGAGATCATTTCTATTGCTTCCACTTTATCTATTTATCTTTTGGGAAATTTACACACTCAGCACATAATTCTTATGTATATACCTATCTCACACCTAAACTTTCTTATTTACATACATAGCACTTTAGTGCTTTAAACCTATGCATGCAAAGGTGTATTTCCCTTTTAAAAAGTGGTAATAGTGCTTTTTTTTATGTGATATTAAAGATTTGAGTGCTATGTGTGTAATTGTGCATGTTTAGGTGTGAAATATGTAAATACATTAGAACTGTGCTATGTATGTTAATGCCCCTTTTCTTTTTCAATTTTTCTTATACTCCATAATTACAAGAATTGCTAGGCTGTTTCCTTTTTTCGTTCCTTAGTGAATTGTAGAGTTGTTAAGTCCTATTTCAAGTTTTGATCCTTTTTATGTAGGAGTAGAATAGACTTGACCCATCGCTCAATAATTGTTGAAATCTTGACAACTTTTTAAAGCTTTATCCTCCATGCTTTAAGAGTAAAGTCGACAAAGTTTTTTGATAATTATCCAACATATGATCCTCTAGACGAAGTGACATAGTTTACATGATTAATGCCTAAGTTGGCTTCAAGTGATGGGGGCAAATCACTCGTACCGAAAGAAGAATGCCAGCAAATGAAATATTAGAAAACCAAGATTGATGCCACTATTGGAGACATTTTTTATTTCAATTTTTTGGCCAATATGTTAAGATCTCAAGTTCAGATTAGGTTTATCTAGTCTGACATTTTGAGCTATATTCTCTGGATTGATCATACACAAATTAAGTTATGAAGAGCATGATTAGTATATATCATAATAAGAGGGTTTAACAAAATTATTGAAACTCTCCATTACAAATCAAATAAGAAATTAAAGACTTTTGAGTATTTTATGATGAACAAGGTTATTAAAAGAACACAATGGGAGGGTCAACATCCATGTGATGTTAGATGCTCAAAATTGAAATATCTGGAGAGTCGATCTCTCTAACAGATGAAAAAGTTCAACAACCAGAAAAGAGCATTCTTTATCGAAAAAATGGTGCATTTTTTTTGTCATGATTTTTCCTTCTTAACAAAAGCAGGGTATATCATTGTCATTTTTTGGGGAAATTAGCTATAAGCTGGTTTCTCCTGTTTGTTGGCTCTTCGACGAGTTGTTTCCTCTATTATTATGATTGTTGAGTTTTTGGAATGTGCTTCATGCTCTGAATTCCATGCATTTACATTCCATTTTGATTATTTTCCCTCATCATGGTAATGTTGATGACACTCACAGGCATGATCCACTTAAATTTGTCACTGTCATCATATACTGAAAAGCTCCTAGATTTATGATTATTATAATGCCACAATACAACCAAGAAGCTTATGCCTTACAAGATCAGTGAAGTTGAGATTATGCCACACACTCGTCTTTTCTATTCTGCCATTATTGCATCCCTCTTGCCTCTTTCGAGTAATATTTTTTTTTATATGTCTTACATACATACCATCTAATTCCTATGTATCTACATACATTTCACCTAAACATTATAGGCATACCACTCAAATCCTGAACATCACATTAAAATTACGATCATCAATACTTTTTTCGAAGTGAAATGCATCTTTTCATGGGTAAGTTTAGGACACCAAGGTGTTATAAGTGTAAAAATCAAGCTTTGAGTGTTAGAGATGTAAATACATAAGAACTGTGTGGTATGTATATAAATTTCCCTCTTTTTTAATACAAGGTTGAAGCGTCCTCATTAGCTTTTCTAACCGGATCTTTGTTAATAGGTTGGACACCTTTTGACCTTGGTCCAGTTGCGCTGAAGGAGATAAATAATTTTCTTTCGAACTGCAAGGTATTACAGAACTATGCGGCTTCCTTATTGTTAGAGCTCAGCAACGCAACAGTGTTCCATGAGATTTTTCTCAATTTTTTTTTATTTGCTTTTTCTTGTGTTGTTAACTTTCATATACTTAATCAGAGTGTTCTCTGACATGTTTATTCCACACTTCTACTCTAGTTTCAATGTTTTGTTCTCATCATTGTCTTATCCTATATATCCATTCCTTTGATAATTAAATGGCTTAGAGGCTCTTTTTATGCTACTGGTGTACACTATAATGCATCACTACCAAAAAAAAAAAAAATGCTAAATATAGTAAACAATTGATAGAGAATGTGGAAATGTAAATGATAGAAGACATAAATGTCTGCTCATGGATTTTTTTTTTTTTGAACTGTTGGAAACCTCCAATTTATGTTGTACAATATAAGTTAATTCATTATCATCAATAGTCTTATACCAACTATTATAGTTTTATGAATCATCATTTTCATTTCATATCTATTGAGCGCTCCATGATGTTAAACCCATTCTCTTATATCTTTTTGTACGATTTCTATCAGTTATTTTTTTGTCTAACAATTTTTCTTTATAATTCTTACATTTATTTTACTTACTTGGTGCATCGGCTACCCCTAGCTGTGCACATCAAATTTATATTTCTATTTTTTATTATCTTATCTCCTATGGATGATACTTTTTGCAATACCTCTAATACAATCATTTTTTAGGATAATTACATAAATGGTAATCGAAACATTGTTATTAACAAAATGACACTGAATTTTATTTTATTTTTACCTAATGAACCATGTCTTTAAAAGTTCCATGATCAAACCATTGGGAATTTGATAAAAATGAAAATAGTGTTGGGGTTTTATTATGAATTTTGATATTTGAGTGACCATTTGACAAAAGGATGCTAGTGGGTCGTTGTTTTGTAGATAACAATGTTTCCGTTGTATTGTATGTAAATTCCCTATCATTTCTTCCATACTTCTCAGTTTAACATCTTTGCTCCTCGGATCAATTTGTCTATCAGTGTTTCTTTATTATTGTCTAAACATGATTTTGATTTATACAACACAATTGATCTTATTGCAGCTTATAGAACTTATCTTTAAGTCTCCATGATATTATTTTATTACACTGATATAATGTCACTAAAAGATATCTACTTGAAAATTTATTGGGGGAACTATGTATTAGTTGGCATTTTAACCCGAAAGATACCTCTTATATAGATTCAAAAAAAATAAAAAAAATTCAATCAAGGGCTTATGATTATTTTAAAATTATTAAAAAAATTACACCGAATGCCTATTTATACCTGCCATTAGACATGCATGGGAGTTCAGCTTTCTATATAGATTACCTACTGCCATACAGAAATGACTTGCAATCTAAAACTTTAGAGACTACTGTTGTAAGTAAACAGTCTGCTCAAGATTAAGCGTTTTAGCCATCTACTTGCTTTGAGGTGGATCATATTATCTTTAGATGAAACTCTCATAGATGACAATGATCAATAAAAAGTTGTTATCAGATGGAAGAATCAATAGGCATCAGAAGGCACTTGGCTAATTGCTGAAGAGTTGGGCATTCAGTTATTGATTAGATGGACAACTATTTGGACTTCAATTTTTCAGAAAATAGTTTTTTTTTTTTTTTGGTCCGGGGTCTGTGCAGCAACACAGTCACTTGTACCACATAGACCAACCATAAGAGCTGTGTAAAGAAGGAAAAAATATATAGTATTGTTTAAGTTCAAAATTTTATTTTCATGAGCTTATTATCCCAATTTATCTTTTTTTTTTATGGAAAAGGAAGTTGGATCAAATAGTGGTTTATATGCTTTCAACACCATTTTGTACACGTAATTCTCATGCAAATTATTGAAATTAGTATTTTTTTGACTTTTGGATTTCATGTGAAAGTTGCAACTCAATGGTAGTTACATTTGGGCTCTTCTTTGTGCAACTCTCCAAATTAAGCCTTGGGGAAAAGCATGAAGCTGCTGACAACATCAAGGAGGAGTGAAAAAAGTCAGTGAAGGAGGAATAGAGAGGGTATAAAAATAGACTATTACTATTGGTTATGACATGATTTGATGCAAAATGAAGCTGCAAATATTTGAAATTCTTATTTATATAATTTAATTAATTTTGACTCATATAATTATTGTATCTTTTCTATTTCTATGGCTTTTAAAATTATTCGTTATGCAAAGAATATTTAGCCATGGAAATCTATGTTGTAAGGTACGTAGTTTGAAATTAAAGAAAGATTATTCTTTTTTTTCTATTAAATTAGCTTGGTGGTAAGTTTTTTTATCTCTTCCTTTGGTGAGTTTGAGAGTGATATCATCCTTTGATGAGGGTGTGTTGGTTATGCAGTTACTTTAAATCAAGTGCTTCTGTGTTCTATTTTAATAAAGGATGCAGCATCACTTCATCAGTGACACTCCATTTATACCCAACCTTAAACTTATAAGTAATATTCTCCTATATCTCATTCTTCTACATCATAGGCCCCAAAATAATTATTTCTATCATGTCTAAATATCACCTAATCTTGCGTCCATTTTGGTTGGTTTTCAGCAATAATACCTTTTAAAAGTGTATATTATATATTAAATTTTTGTTGTACAATCTTAGCCCTTTTTCATTTACAATCCATTATTCTAACTTGTCACTTATTTTGATAAAGTTTTCATTAATAGAATTATATTTTCCATAAAGGTAACTTATTTTCAATTTTTTTTGTAAGCAATCGTATGACTTGTTGAAACTTCTTAATCCCTTCACAACTATAGAGCTAGTTCATGTTCCATTAAAGGTATATAGAGTAACATCAACATTCCTATGATGCAGGCTTTCTATTCCTTAATATGTACTAGATTGATTCTCACAGTATTCGGTCATATTAGTTCTCAAAATTAATAAAACCTTATAATTTTCTTTTTTTCGTTTTTTTATTTTGCAACTAGTTTCCTTATCACAAAATTACACACATATTGGATCTCCTAGCATAAAATCATTTTGATTTTTTGATAATGATGTAATTTGCATAAGTTTGACATAGCTCTAGTGACAGAAGTGTGACTTTGGGTGATCAAATTATTAAAAGGTGTGAACGATTTAGATATCTTGGGTCCGTTGTCCAAAGCGATGGTGATATAGATGGGGATGTTAATAGTAGAATTCAAGTTGGTTGGTTGAAGTGGAGGAATGCTTCGGGCCTTTTGTGTGATAGAAAAGTACCGCTAAGACTGAAAGGAAAATTTTATAAGACGGTGGTGAGACCTGCAATGCTCTATGGCGCTGAATGTTGGCCTTTAAAAGAGAAGCATAATAATAAGTTAAGTGTTGCCGAGATGACAATGATTAGGTGGATGAGTGGCTTTACACTTAGAGACAAAATGCGGAATGAATATATTCATGATAGGGTTGGTGTAGCTCCTGTGACAGACAAAATTAGAGAAAGTCGCCTTAGATGGTTTGGTCATATTAAACGTCGACCATTAGATGATCCGATTAGGAGAGTAGATGTTTTAAATTCGACTTGTGTTAAGAAAAACAGAGGTAGACCTAGGAAGACTTGGGCTTATTGTATTAAAAATGATCTTAATTTACTAGAACTAAATGAAAAAATGACACTAAATAGGACGCAATGGAGAAAAAGGATTCATGTAGCCGACCCCACGTAGTAGGATTAAGGCTTTGTTGCATAAGTTTATATTCCATTATCCTCTCTTATAAATTATATGTATGACTTTTAAGTTTGATCCTCCTGTAATTATCATAGTTTAGAACATTGTGGTTTTTCTTGAATATTGTTACCAACACGCTTTTCTATTATTTTGGCATCCCTTTACTCTTAAAAAATTTATTGAAAATATTTATCAACCAAGGTACTTGATGTCACCTATAACTCTTTTAAGTTTTAATAGGTACCTGAGCAAGATCAAATATTTATTTGTACGGATGTTCTTCATAGCAGATTTCACTTCATTTTCTTAGATCAATCTATAATTTATCTAATTATGCTTTTACAAAAATATTTTTTTTCTTATGACTCATTTAGTAATTTTTCAAAAGAACATCTTTTTCCTTTTTTTGGTGCCTTCATCTATAACTAAAATTTTACTATCATTACTTTGAATGCATTTAACTTGATAGAAGTATATGGACACTTTGTATTGCTTAAGTTATTCGATTTATCTTTTGTTTTATTTCTCATACATAGCCGAGTATATAATTCATAAAAAAATTATAACTTTATTTTGATTAATGCCCTCTTCACAAGATTTCTAGCTTGCTTAAAATACTTCTATGACATAACATGATTAGATGTTTGATGTTAATATGAAATAAAATTTGCAAATATCAAGCAATCCCACTCTATAACGGTATTAGCACTTTCATTTAACTACACTTGTTAAAAATTTCTTCTATATGGTTTTTTATTCCAAATGTTCTATATCTATACATTCTCTCTGTATATGTTTGTATTTAGAAAATTAACTTTTATATTGCCTGTTGTTTTATTTTATTAATGTAATATCATCTGTGTAAATAGAAGGCTTTTTGGATTGGTCCTGTAAAATTTGCTTCATCAGAGAATGGTGCAGTTGGAGCTTCACAATTGGCTCGCATGCTTGAAATAATTTGTAACAATGGCTGCGATGTAACTATTGTGGGGAATGCAGTCTTGCAAACTGTTCTGGCGACAAAATGTTCTCTTTCCCAATATAAAGTGTTTAAAAATGCAACAGTTGTGTGGAGCTTGCTTGAGGGAAAAACCCTTCCAGGTGTTGCTGCTTTAGACAGAGTACGCATGATAGCACTGATTTGTAATTTAGCCTTTTTATGCCAACTTCATGGCATTTTGCCTGATTTTTGGCTGGCCTGATATCACGTGTTTTGCTATTGCCATCTTATTTTGTTTAATTTTGGAATATGAAGTATGTTAAGGGTTTGTTTGCGATCACTTTTGGAATTATTTTGAGTATTTTTAAAAACAATTGAAGATGTTATATCATACCAAAAATATTTTATTTTAAATCAAAATATAAACAAAATAAAATGAGATTAAAAAAATAAAAAATCAAAATCAAAAGTCATCCCAAACAACCCCTAAGTCTCGGTCTATTATTATGCTCAGTTAAGTATTATCGTATTTTTCTGTTTCTAAGAGGGGAATTCAGTTGTATATTGAATATAACTCCTAGTTTGGAAATTTGTACCCCTTATGATCACATACGAGGTGGATGAATGCTTTTATACCTTTTTGAGATACTTATAAAGTTTTTCTTTTTAATCATTCCGGGTTATGTTAATTTTAATTGGCTAAAAATTAGCACTATGTTTTGATATTTTGTTGCACTCCTTTGTGGCCATGATCTTGTGTGTAAGATGCTATCAATTATTGTTCTATATAGTGAGACATCCATATAATAAGTTCAAAATTAGAATAATGAAGGCGATATTTTGAAGATAAAGATTTTAGAATTAGGAGAATAAATTTTGAATATATGATATGTAATTTCGGTGGATATAATATTAATAATTTTTTGTTATTAGAAGATAAGGTGATACCTATATTTGATATGTTTAAGTATTTTGGCTCTATTATACAATATGGTAAAGGCATAAATGATAATATAACTTCTAGATTAAGGATGGATGTTTAAATGGGAGAAGCTTCTTAGAAATTCTGTGATAGGAAGATTTAATAAAGTTTAAAAGAAATATTTACAAAAAAAAAAAAAAAAACACTTGAAACCTACGCCATTTAACTCAATTTGAAATACTCTCACAAAATCATTTTTTTCACTTACACATTATTTATCTATCGCTCACTAGAAGTGCCACACTTAAAACCCTCGCCTTCCTTTCCTCCTACAATATGCTGCCTCTTGATCTCTCGTATCTGTTGTGACTCACACAAAACTCTCTTGCTCATGATTCCTCTCTTCTCTCTTTTCTTTCATATTGCTTTGAATCTTATCACACTTGCCTCTCTATTATATGCATCACGAAGCCCATCCCACATTCTCTTTTGCATGATGTAATTTTGCTCGAGTTTCATCCCCCTACATTGAGCCCGCTCTCCCCATCTTCATTGGCTCTTTTCCTTGCATTCTCTTTATTCATTTGCTCTCTTTCTTGCATTTCCTCTCCTTATCTGCTATGCCTATTTAGCTTGAATCTTCGTTGCTAACTACCTACTCTCGTTCTCCGACATATAAAAACACATGCTTTTACCCTATTCTCTAATGCACAATACCTACTCTGATGACTTGTTGCTTGTGATCTTTCCCATATCTTCCACTTTGATCATGTTTCAATAAGTTCCACTTCTTGTTCTTTGCAACTTCATCCAACAACACTTGGAATGTTGTGATGGAGGACATGCCCAATTATGGAATGAACCATACGATCATCAATATTTCCAATCAATACTTCGAGAATGTGCTATTCCTCTAATTGCTGCTCACATTTTATGCTCATATTATGCTAATGTATAATATAATTTTTTCATTGAAACATCCTTTCTGTGCTTCTCTATTTCGATGATGTCATTCTTTTTTATTGAGTTGGAAAATCTTTTTGCGAACATTCCTTTTAACTAAACAAATGTTTTAATAGAATCATTTAATAGTTTAACATAGCATTCAAAAGCAGTCTTATTAAAACTATTGATGAACTAATAGAAGAATGGAGCATCTATGTTTCCAATATTTCCACAGGTCCCCTTGAACTAGGCCAAATACGTCCTTGGGTTGACATTGCCATTAAAAGTGTGAAATTTTGCTCTGAATATCCTTTAGGATTTAACACTTTGTTATACAATGTTGGTATGGACAACCCTTGCTTATCAGAATTATTGTTTGCTTTAAAGTTATGATTGCTTAAATCTTCTCATTTATAAGAGTTTTAGGCTGGGTTGTAAGTATTGTGTTAGAGGTTGCTTTGTTTTCTCATGTAGTTCAATGGGTTGTTCCAGAACTAAATTTTGTCTCGTCTACTATGAAAGCTTAATGATAAGGAGGATCTACATATAATTTTTATTGATTTAGAAAAAGCTTACGATAAGATTTCAAGAGATATCCTTTGGAGAGTTCATGAGAAGAAATGTGTTGGTATGACTTATATTCAAGTCATTAAAGATATGTATACAAAAGCTGTTACTTCTGTTCGAACAGAAGGAGGATTGACCAATTATTTTCCTATTTCAGTTGTTTTACATCAGGGATCGGCTTTAAGCTCATATCTTTTTTGCTTTAGTTATGGACGGTCTTACTGGACACTTACAGGAGGATGTAACTTGGTGCATACTTTAAGACGAGAGAAAAAGCTCAGGAAAAACTTGAATTATGGAGGTCTACCTTGGAGTCAAAGGCCTTCGTTTGAATAAAACTAAAACGGAATACATTGAATGTAATTTTAGTAGTAGTAGCTCTAGTGACATAGTAGTAACTATGGTTGATCAAATTATTAAAATGTGTGAATGCTTTAGATATCTCGGGTCTATTGTTCAAAGTGATGGTGATATTGATGAGAATTTTATTAATAGAATTCAAGTTAGTTGGTTGAAGTTGAGGAATGCGATTGATGGGAATTTTATTAGTAGAATTCAAGTTAGTTGGTTGAAGTTGAGGAATGCGTCGGGCCTATTGTGTGATAGAAAATTACCAATAGACTTGAAGGAAGAATGTTATCCATCCTTACCAATAATTTTTTGAATCTGACAAATTTAAGATAACCTAAAATCATAAAGAGCTGATGTCATAAAATATATAATCTTTGGTCGCTCTCGAAAATCTTATGCTAATAATGATAACTTTTATCATTTGATCAAGTTGTTTTAGTGCCAAATGATAACGCAATAACAATTATGATCAGGGTCATCAAATTAGGTAACACTATTAAATGACAATTAAGGCCAAAGCTTAAAAGTTCCCTAATAACTTTATTTTCTGAGTGGTGAATCATAGAGTGCACTTGATAGGACATGGAATCCTTTTTTAGCTGTGATCTACTTAAAAGTTTTTCCCACCTCCATCGTAAGTGTATAAGGTTTTTTTGGATGATTAAAATCATGGTTACTGATAAGGATAGTTATATTATGTCTGGTCAGTTACTTTCACTAATTAAGTTAGAGTTTATATGAACCCGAGTTGACGGAATCGTGGATTTTGATCATGTTTGTCTTTATTTCTTCTGCCATCTACATTAAAACTAAGCATGATTTTTTTTTTTCATTTTAACCCAAAATGTTACGAGTATGACTGTATATTGCCTGTACTCTTGGAAGAGTTGCATGCAAATCTTTGGAGCTCACATTGAGATGTTTTAGCTAGAGAATAGCTTGCGTGCTTTTCTAGCTTAGCACAAATTTTGTTCTCTTCCACATGACAATTCGAGCTATATGGTTTTTTTTTAACTATGTATTGAGATTGTAGACTCACTGGGAGAGGTTGTTTGACGAAATGGTTGAAGATTGTTTTTTTTTTTTCAAATGAATAAGATGTTTAATGCCATTTATTCATAATCACCAGTTTTTTGCTTTTTTTGTCTCATTCGTCTGAGTTGACTTATGGAACATTTATAAAGTTTAACATTTTTAAATTTAAAGGGATAAATTTGCATAGTCTCCTTGTTTTGTGGAGTATTAGAGATAGCAATTAAGAATTTATGTATTATCGACAATCTTATTCATTCTTCTGTGTGCTTCTTTGAGTTTTAAGAAGCTTAAGGTTTAACTTGTGAATCTATTCTTGTAACAGTATTCCAAATCATTTGCCTTAATGTTATTGTTGTTTTTTGGGAAATTTGCACACCTAGTGCACAATTCTTATTTTTTACATATCTCACACCTAAACACTCATATTTACATACTTAACATTTTGGTGCTTTAAACCTAAGTTTGCAAAGGTGTTTCTCACTTTTAAAAAGCAGTGGTAGTGCGATTTTTTATATGATAGTAAAGATTTAAGTGCTATGCGTGTATATATGAAATTTTAGGTGTGATGTAGGTAAATACGTTAGAATTGTGTGCTATGTATGTAAATGCCCATTTTTTTGGATATCCTTTCATGCATTTTTGTTTCTTGTTGCAGGCCTATCCATATGAAATTGTTTGGGCTACTATTTATGAAAATCCAACTCAGCCTTTAGTTGTGGATATTGGGAGCGGTACTTCTATTTCCATGATGTTGCTTTTAAATGAATTATTGTCACACAAGATTTCCCACTTTGGATGTCCACTTTAACGTATTTCTGGCATGTCACATTAAATGTTGAAGAGAACATTGATTTTTGCAGCATTTACATACATACCACTCAATTCTTATATATTTACATATCTAATCTTAAACTTTATTTTTTACATTTATACCCAACCAAATCTTTCATTTCACATAAAAAATACCATCTTTTGAACTTTTAAAATGTGAAATACTCTTTTTCATGCAGAGGTAAGGCGACATGTATGTAAAAATATAAGTTTAGGTGTTAAATATATAAATACACATTAATTGAGCGGTTTTTATGTAAACCTTGTTTGATTTTTTTTTATAGAATCATGACAAACCATCTTAGGGTCAGTTTGGGGCGGCTGTGTCTTTTTAAAATTAAGGCTATAAAACTATGTTGGAGAACATAACTTAGGAAGCTGCGGTAGAAAATATAAATTTATTTTTTTTTTCAAAAAATTGAATAACAACTTTCTTACAGCCAGCACACTAAGAGATTGGGTTGAAAAAAGCAGCTTCTCACCATAGAAATTTATAGAAAGCAACAAGAAAACAGTTCCCCAAACAGAGCTATTGCAACGGTAAGAAAAGGAAAACAAACATAAAGCTGTCCCAAACTTATTGCAAAATGAAAGCCAGATTTTTTTATTCTTTAGCTACCAAAGCAAATAAAGGCGGCTCTATTTTTGTTTTTAATTAATTAAATTTTAAGCATCTGCTCTTTCACAGAAGTTTCTCTGTGAAACTATTTGACCTTTAGTTACTTTTTGATGTCAAGTATTTGATTTTATTACAATGGACTGCTATAAGCCTCCCTTGCAGTTTCTTTCAGTCAATTTATAATTACATCCGTAAGATTAGTACATGTAAGAAATTTGACTAAATTGTTTGGATCTTGAATTTATGATAATGCTGTAAACTGCGAACTTCATCATATAAGGAGTTTAATAGTAGGGACATTTACATACATAGCACACAATTCTAATGTATTTCCATATCTCACCTAAACTTTCATATTTACACAAATAACACTCAAATCCTTAATATCACATCAAAAATAGCACTATTACCATTTTTATAAGTGAGATACATCTTAATGCACCAAAGTACTATGTATGTGAATATGAAAGTTTTGGTGCGAGATATGTAACTACATATGAATTGTGTGCTAGGTAAGTGTAAATGTTCCCTTAATGGTAAATATATATTTCATATATCTTTACTATTAAGTTAGGCGTTAGATATGTAAATACATTGGAATTGGGTGGTATGTATGTAAATGCTCCTTTTGTTTTTTACGATTAACTGTTTTTATCTCAAGCATCAATGTGTCAATCCTTCTTTTAATCAGGCCATTCGAATCTCGAGTTGCCTTTTTTGATAAATTTTTAAAATTGAGAGATTAAATTGAAGAAATGTAATATTTTGGATATAATTTGACTACATACGAGTAGTCGATGGACTATTTTGGAGTTTAGTCCATAATAAGATTAAATCCCAACTATATAGTTAATTTTCACGTGTATTTGATTTAAGATTAGATTAATTTATTTGGAAACCTTCTAGTGAATTTGCGTTGTAATGCTGTAGGAAACGGGTTGTTTCCATTAAAGATGGCTGAAAAATGGAAATCTTTAAATTTTCTTGGATTGGAGATCAATAATAAGGTACGTATCTCCTTTTCTTTTTGAATTATGACTTGTATACTGCTACGCAACTATATAAATATAAGGAAATTTTACATACGTAGCACATAGTCTTAAAATTTTACATATCTCACACCTAAACTTTTTCTTATTTACATATTTAGCATTTTGGTGTTTTGAACCTATGCGTGAAAAAGTAGATTTCACTATTAGAAAGGGTAATGGCACTGTTTTTTGTGTGATATTAAAGATTTGATTGCTATATGTGTAAATGTGGAAGTTTAGATGTGAGATATGTAAATACATAAGAATTGTGTGTTATGTACATAAGAATTGTGTGTTATGTATGTAAATGCACCTAAATATAATAATCAATTTATGCAGCTGGTCATGCATTGTCTGGATGCCATTGTTGACTGCAAGAGAACAAATGTGTATGCTTTTCCTGAACTAGATTTCAACTATCCCCTTTAATGGTTTATTTAAGTTTTCTGCTTTGTTGTGATAGTTTGCTCTTTTTAATTGATAAAGTGATGTTGGAGTTAACCTGAATCATAAGAAATATAAATATTATTGCTGAATTCAAATAGGCCTACAATGAGACGCTTCAAAACAGTAAATAAAGGACAAAGAACACAAACAACACTCTAGGAGAGGACGACAATGCTGGGTAGTGGCTTGATGGTAGGTGTAGGGCTGGTGGGATGCTGCCGGTACAATGGGGAGGCCTGGAAGGCAGAATCGAGTGTCGTTAGTAGCAGGAAGGCGAGGGGAAGGGCGGTTGCAGCTGGCGGGAAGGATCGATGGATGGCAGCAGCAGGCTGGGAAGGCGGAGAGGTGTCACAGTAGGTGGGGTTGTTGTTTGGGTTTCGATATAAATAGAAAGAAAATAGAGGGGAAACTAAAAAGTTTTATTCTAGCCCCCCTAAGGAGGTCGGTCGGTCTAGCAGGAGGCTGGACTGGAACAGGAGTTGTCCGGTTCAACCAACCTCTCCTTCCAGCCTGTTCATTAGGCTTCTCCCAGCCTCGTGTCAATCTCCTAGGGTTGGGGGGTTTTGATCTTTGTTGTCAAAGTTTTTAGTCATCATCTGTAGTTCTAGCAACACTTGTATCCCACTGTCTACTGCACTGTCTTTCAAGGCACCTGAGAGTCTTCCTCAACATACGAGCAACATCCACACCGGTCCAATCTTTTGGGAGTCGACAACTGAACTGAACTCAGTTTGCATGTCTCTCAGCCCCGCGTCAGTCTCCTGGGGTTGGGGGGTTTTGAACTTTATCGTCAAAGTTTCTAGTCTTCGTCTATAGTGCCTTAGGGGCAAATGTGTAATTTTGGAAATTTAGCCTTAATTAACATTTATGCTTAATTCAAGGAGGGAAATGGGCAACATTTGATCTTAATTTGATGTTTGAAACACAAGGGGTTAATTGGTAGAAACCAGCCACATTTTCCTAATTAAAAAAAAACAGGTTAATAAATTTCTAAATTATCAAAATTTAGAAGTTTATTAAAATAAAATGAACCTGGGACTTAGGGGTATGACTTTTGAAGTCAATAATTAATCAATTTAATACCCATATTTTGATTTTTAAATAAAATAAAAATCATGAATTATAACCACCTAAAGCTTAATCTTTTCAAAGTTAATTAAGACACTCACCTAGGTCTTAAGGGCTTAGTAGTGACTTAGGCTAAATCAAGCTTCATTTAAATGAGGATTA